TACAGAATCTACATCTACATACATACCATAGAAAAGCAAAATCTAGAGCTTTAGAACCTAAAATCTGGGGTCTATCAAGAATCTTAGAACCAGAAAATCTAGAACCACACAATCTCACAGCCTTAGAACTTCCTTGCTGAGAACTTGAGCACTTTTGAGTTAGAGACGTTGGAATTTCAGGTCCTTAGAACCAAGAACTCGTACGGCTCTCTGTGAGAGCGCCCCCCCCCCCCTTTCCCCCTTCGCCTCCTGACAGGAGAGGTTTAAGGGGGACAGAGCCCTGGGAGGCCGGGCCGGGCTCGGGGGCCGCCCCGGGGGCCCGGGCCATGGATGTACGCCGTCTGAAGGTGAACGAACTTCGCGAGGAGCTGCAGCGCCGCGGCCTGGACACTCGCGGCCTTAAGGCCGAGCTTGCTGACCGGCTGCAGGCTGCGCTGGAGGCCGAGGAGCCCGACGACGAGCGGGAGCTCGAGGCCGACGACGAACCGGGGCGACCTGGGCACAACAACGAGGAGGTCGAGACCGAGGGGGGCTCCGAGCTGGAGGGGACCGCGCAGCCACCGCCGCCCGGGCTGCAGCCGCACCCGGAGCCCGGCGGCTACTCGGGGCCGGACGGACATTGTGAGAGTGCGCGGGGCGGGGGCCGGGGAGCCTGGAGTCTGGGCCAAGATAGGGCTGTGGGACGCGGGAGTCCGGCGCCCGAGGTCGGGGACTTGCTGTGAGGATCGGGGGGTCCTGCGATCGGCCGCCGCGAAGGATCTGGGGACCGGGGCCTCGGGACGGCCGGCGGGTGGATTCTGGCATTCGGCGCGGGGGAGAAGCTGGGGGTGGGCGCTGTCGGTGTCGGAAAAGAGGTGGGTCCAGGGAATGGGGAGGGTTCTGGACCTTAGGGCTCGGAGACCGGAAACCGTGGTTTTTGGAACCGAACGGAGTCGGAAGAAAAAGAGGTTTTCTATTTAGGGGCTTGGGGAGAGGCTTGGAAATGGTGATCCTGGGGTTTGCAGCAGGGTGGGCTGGGCGTTAGGAGCCGCGTTTCCAGCTTCGGGACGGAGAGGCCGGGGTCCGGGCCGGAGCGGCTGATAGGGTCCTGAGGTGGGTTGATGAGATGGAGGCACTGGTGTCTGCGGTGGACTGGGTGCTCTGGTGTTGGCCGGAGATCCGTGAGGGGATGTGGGAGACCAGCTTGTTCCACGGGGGGACCCACCTCTCTTCCAGGCTGGGAGGCCAGCCGAGAGGCAGGCGCACCTTGGGCACTGGGTGCTGGGCGATCCGGGGACCTTGTGGTTGACTGCCAGAGGCGGCACCAGGAGCCTTGGTGTCCTGAAGCTCGTGGGGGCAGGAAAGATGCTTCCCTGGACAAAGGACCCGGGAGCCTGGGACTGGGCAAGCTCTCCGGGCCGGAACTCAGTGGCTGTGCTGAATGGTCCTGGTGAACGGGGCAGCCGGGGGTAGGACGGGCGCAGAGAGCAAGCTGGTAGTGCTTGAATTTGGTGAAGTAACCGAGGGACAGGGGATCCTCGTGTCCAGCACGGGAGTGTGTAGCTGTCTGGGAAGATGGGGGAGGGGGAGTGAGTGAGTAATGGAAGGAGAAGGCAAGCCTGTTGACTTGGTCCCCGGGGGCCTCGGGGTGTTGTTGGGGGGAGAGGTGGGGCTCAGCATCTCCCGGTGAGGGTTCCTTGGTCCCCAGAAGCAGTTACTTGCGTGCCCAGGGAGTATCTGCATCAGCCAATAGGAGTGAGTGTGGGAGTGGAGGGATTAGGGTAGGCCTGCAGCTGTTTGAGGAGCAGAGACCTGGCATGGCAGAGAGTGAGTCTGGAGTTAGCAGAGGGCGACTTTTTTTCAGCACTGGGACTGCAAAGATGGGAGGAAGAGAGGTTAAGGGGGAAGGACTGTGGTGTCCAGGGCTTCTGGGGGGTCTGTGGAAAGGGCACCCTGGGGCTGGGGGAAGAAGGTGAGAGGAGAAATGTGGCCATGGAGGAGACTTGGGGTTGGCACTGGGTCCTCGTTCACGAGAGATGTGGCAGCCTGCGTGTAAATTTGGAGTGGAGAACAGCCCAGCGACTGTCCAGGACCCAGGTGCTGGCAGCGTGCGTGGCGTGGCAGAGACCTGGGAAGGAAGAAGTGGCCCGGCGAGCTTGTCTATAGAGTGGGAGCCCCCAGTGGGGCAGAGTTCCGGGAGAGCAGGGTGGTTGGATGCCTCGGCACGCAGCCTCTAGACTGTTTCAGGTTCGGCTCTGTGACTCGGGCAGGGTGCTTCATCTCCGTGCGTCTGGTTTCCTTGTGTGTAAAATGGGGTTACAGGGTTGTTAAGAATGAAGTCACGCGTGAGGGGCCTCTCCCCGGGTCCGCCTGCTGATGAGGAAAGCGGCGTTTAGGGGATGGAGAGGGACCCCAGCATCTTGGCTCCCTGGGCAGGCTGCTCCGGGCCCAGAGGGATGCTTAGAGAGGCTTGAGGCTCTGGGGCACACACTGCCTAGCGCCTGGAGGAAGCAGCTGGGCTGAGAGGACCTCACATCCCAGGGAAGATGACGTTCCCTCTCTTCCTCTCGCCCTGCCCTCTGCACCAGAGTCCTTTGAGTGCCCTCCACACCCCTGCGACCCTCCCTCAGCCTTGGTAAACAGACCTGTAAGGCACCACGTGACCTGAGACTTTCCTCCCTTTGGGCCGCACCAGGTTTGTGCCCAGATGTGTTTGTCCTCTGAGAAAGCATCCAGTCAGTCAACAAGTGGCAGGATAGGCTCTGCTTCCCCGTGGTTCTGCCTCACTGCTGCTGGCACAGCCGCGAGGAGGACTCGGGAGGCACCCAGCAGAGAGCGGCCCCTGGGGCCGAGAGCCGGTGTGCTGCTCGCTGGCGCTCACTCAGTCTCCAAAGCCCTCTCAGGTTTGCCTGCAAGGTTCTGCCCCTTGAGAGAGTGTCTGGGTTAGGGGGAAGGTCTGGTTTCAGTCCCACCTCTGAGCTTTCCTGTGCAGTATCCCAACCCCGGCAATATTCTCCATTCTCATCCCTGAATCTTCGTTCCTGTGACCTTGGAGCCAAACCTTGGCTGTTATTTCTCAGGTCCCTTTTCTTTTTTAGCTCCTGATATTTCTTGATAACCCTTTCTTTTTTTTCCTTTTTCTTTTTTAATTTTTTTTTTCTTTTTTTTTTGACAGGCAGAGTGGACAG